CATTAATATTAAATTCTATTTTTCCAAAACTTCTGTAGGTAACATACGTATTTCGTACACATTTTATTTTCTATTACGAAAGATATTATGGAACATATTTTATGTAACTTTCTCCGTCCCATTAAAATTTGTCCACTCATGGGAATGGAAGTACTATGCTTATTTGAAAAATCTATATATGCTTTTTCTTAAATATTATCATTTATGATACTCTTTATATCAAACTTGCTTTTTTTTTTAATTTATGATACTCTTTTTTTGTTTAGTACGTATGTAACAAGATGTTAACAATTTAATTAGAAATTAAATATCTCATATTATTCTCTAGAAAATAATTATGTGCATGTCACAATTGGGAGAGTTGCAAAGTTTATAGTTGGAAAAAACAAATGGAGCTATGAAGCTTGCTCCATGTGCACTAGAAAGGCTAGAAAGCGGATTAATTACTTCATATGCAAATGTGGTAAATATAGCTAGAAGCATACTCTAAGTTTTTTGTTATCTGGATAAATATGTCAATTCTACTATTATTTTTGTATGGTCTGATTTGTCATCACGTTAATATAATACCAATGTTGAAATAGTGCTAATGTTGGAAGATATCACCCATGTGGAGTTTTTAGGTATAAGAACATAAACTTGCTAATAATTGAATGAGACAAATTTGTCTATCATATGTAGTGTCTTTAGGCATTAGAAAATAGAAAATAAGCTTTCTAACAATTGAGCAGAGAATTGAGCGGGATAATTTTCTATCTCATACGTAGTGCTTTTAAATATTAGAAGATAAGCTTGCTAACAATTGAGCGGGATACGTTTCTCTCTCATATGTTGTGATTTTAGGTATTATTAGGAGATAAACTTGCTAACAATTGAGCGGAAAAACTTTAAATATATATGTAGTTCTTTTAAGTATAAGATAAATTGGCTAAAAATTGAGACCAGGGAAGTTTTCTCTCTAATATGTAGTGCTTTTAGTCTTTTTAGGCATAACTGTATAAGATAAGCCGACTAACAATTGAGCGGGAGAATTTTCTCTCTCATATGTAGTGGTTTTAGGAATAAGAAGAAGCAGAAGATAAGCTTGCTAATAATTGATCGGGACAAAATTCCCTATCATATGTAGTGTTTTCAGGTATTAGAAGACAAACTTTGAGCACCAGAATTGAGCAGAATAATTTTTTCTTTCATATGTAGTACTTTTAGGTATTAGAAGTTAAACCTGCTAACAATTTAGCGGTGTAATTTTTACTTTCATGTATAGTGCTTTTAGGTATGAGATAAACCAGCTAACAATTGAGCGGGAGAATTTTCCCTCTCATATGTAGTGATTTTATGTATAAGAAGATAAGCTTGCTAATAATTGATCGAGAGAAATTTCTCCTATCATATGTAGTGTCTTTAGGTATAGAAGATAAGATTGCTAACAATTAAGCAGGTGGATTGAGCGGGATAACTTTCTCTATCACATGTAGTGCTTTTAGGTATTAGAAAATAAGCTTTCTAACAATGGAGGCAATAACTTTCTCTCTTATATATAGTGTTTTTAGGTATAAGATAAGACGACTAACAATTGAGTGAAAGAATTTTCGCTCTCATATGTAGTGGTTTAGGGTATAACAATATAAGCTTGCTAATAATTGAGCGGAAGAAATTTCTCTATCATGTGCACGGCTTTTAGGTATTAAAAGATAAGTTTGCTAACAATTGATCAGGGGAATTGAGCGGAATAATTTTCGCTCTCATATGTAGTGCTTTTAGGTATTAGAAAATAATTTTCCTTACAATTGAGAGGGATAATTTTCTTTCTTATAGGTAGTTCTCTCTCATATGTTAGCACTATTTTAACTAATGATTAGCAAGTTCTTATTTAACTAATATTCGTTAATATTAATATTTGTCATATTTACTTAAACTTTATGTCATTCACTTATTGTATTTACTTTTTTAGAATTGTATTTAATTTTAAAATTAATTCAATCATGAAAATTAATAGATAATAATTTCTAATGAGTGGTTTCAATTAATTTTTCCTAATATACTCTTCATTTAATATTTATTGTATGGATTACTTTATGATATTAATTTATTGTACTCTTTTTCTCTCTCTAAAATGTAAAATCCTAAAAAGTTGTTTTTGTTTTAATACTTAATTAGATCATGAGTAAAAATAAATGCACCAACTACTATTTCCCGCACGTATGCAAGGATACTATACTAGGTTAAAAGAAAATTGCACCCTTCATTAATTCTATGTGTCTATCTCCCCACAATTTGCTCCTTTACTATAACAATGCCATGTGTCAAATTCTATATTTTGTATTTGGAAAAGGATAACTACGGTACTACTTACGTAATAGCAATAGCATCGGAAGGTCGGTTGAGGAGAGATTAAATTCTCGGTGCCCATTGTATAAAAAGCACTTTTTTTAAAGTGGTATAACTTTTTCATTTGTACTCTAATTATTATAAAAATATATCAAAAATCATAGTTTTTTACGGTCTTTCATATGACACCAATATTTAATATATATAATTTAAAACAATTATGAATGTGTATTAAAGCTTCCTATTTTCCAATCACGATATCAATTATTCCGTATTAAATGAATAAATAATTTGTAATATATAACTAAAATAAGGTTAATGGATACAAATACGACTTATTAATTTTTAGTTACTATAATTGTGGTTAAAATTATATCAAAGTGACTAGAAAAGGATGCTAAGCACAGTTATCTTTAAGAATTTATTTGAATGCCTTCCCGATTGAAGTTTTAGCTAAAATTTTGTATGAGTAAACTAGACTTAATGACTACGATGCTCAAAAAATTTCATCAAAAAAATCCACCGGGAACCGCCCCAAATGGCGTTGGCTGAACAGAGCGTCCTGTATAAAGCCTTATTTGACCTTTTTATGTAAGTTCGAGGCCCTATTTGACTCTTTCCCAGATTATGTCCTTTCTATTGTAATTTTAATTCGCAAATTTCTACAATTTTGTTGTGATCATTTGAAAAATCACTCCATATATTCATTCTATATAGTCACCACTATTTATTTTTTACCATCATTATAAATTGGTGCTTAATGAAATGTTCACATATACGTAACTTTTTTGGCTTAATTGGCTGAAATTGTTGTAAAAGACCATTTTAGCTATTATCATAAAAGTATATATTTTTTAAGTCTCACATAAATATATTAGTTAAAATAATGTATCAAAGTTTATTATTTTTTACTGAGAAAGTCAAAGATGATTAAATAAAAAGGGACGAAGGTAGTCATCATCATCATAATACCTACAAGTAATAAAAATCTAATACTCCCTCTGTATTTTTTGTTTGCTACACTTTCCTTTTTTGGAGGTATTCAAAAATTTGTTACACTTTCCCTTTTTGGTATGTTTTTCCTTTAAAAATACTCAACTACCCTTACTTTTTCTACTTTTTATCTTATCTTTCATATTTTTTCACCACCTCTCCTACTTTCTTACACTATTCATTACGTGTACTATTTCACTCTTAAAAAATGTGTCAACACCTATTGTAACAAAAAAAATACGAAGGGAGTATTATTTCTCTCTCATATGTAGTGATTTTAAGTATATAAGATAAGATAGGCGGACTAATAAGTGAGCGAGAAAGTTTTTTCTCTCATATGAGTCATATGTAGTGCTTTTATGTATAAATAAATATATGTGAACTAATAATTGAGTACAATGATTTTCTCTCTTATATGTGATGTTTTTAGGTACTCCGTATAAAATAAGATAAACAAGCTAATAATTGAGTGGAAAATTTTTCTTTTCATACGTAGTGTTTTTAGGTATAAGAAGATAAACGAACTAATAACTGAGCGGGGAATTTTTTCTCTGATATATAATGTTTTAGGTATAAGAAGATAAGCGGAATAATAAATGAGCGGGAGAATTTTTTATCTCATATGTAGTAGTTTTAGGTATGAGATAAGCGTACTAATAAGTGAGAGAGTATTTTTCTCTCATATGTAGATATAAGATAAGCGTACTGATAAATGAGCGGGAGAAGTTTTTCTCTCATATGTAATACTTTTATAGTTGTAGGCATAAGAAAAGCAAACAAATAATTTAACGAAAGAATTTTCTCTCTCATATGTTGTATTTTTAAGTATAAAATAAGATGAGCGGACTAATAATTGAGCGGAAAAATTTTCTCTCTCATACTAATGCTTTTAAGTATAAGAAGATAAATGGACTAATAATTGAGAGAGATAACTTTCTCTCATATGTAGTATTTTTAAGTACTCCGTATAAAATAAGCGGACTAATAAGTGAGGGAAACATTTTTTTAATATCATATGTAGTGGTTTTAGATACTATCCTCCATTATTTGTGCAAATATATTTTAATAATTATTCTGAATAACTATTCTATTTTAATTTTTGATTACATCATAAGTATATATATGCATCAACTGCTTTTCCCGTGCGTATGCACGGGTACTATACTAGTTTTAAATACATGGTAGGTTTTAATTCCATTTCCATTTCTGAATTGTTGTTTCTTTTCACTGAAAATGGTCTCGGGTTTCTTCAAGGAAAAGGTATTGTGGTTGAACCTTTGGAAATCAAATGATTGATAAAAAACGAGGGACTTGCTAAAATATTATAGACATTTTAAGTAGTGAATAGTGCATTCGAGTAAGGGCATATAGGGTATTTTGACAGCCTTCCTTAATCTTTGAACTAAAAAAGAATGAGACTCACTTTGGGATGGAGAGAGGAAGAGCTATAAAAATTAAAAAACCGGTCTCAACAGTTACCTAAACTGGTAAAAAGTATGTACCAAAATCCGAGCTGGGTTTTCTAAATTCCTGATCACTGGATTGGGATGACCTATCTATACAGCCGATGCAAATTGAACAAAATGCTTGGTAGCAATGTGAAAATATTTATATTTGCTCTGGATGGCTGCATCCCCCCCCCCCCCCCAATGTGGATTGAAAATTAAGCACCAGATGCCCGCTAAAATGGAATTACATTCAGGCGCATTACATTCATATCAGGTATATGCGCGAAAAAACTCATAAAATATAAGAATCCTTTCAGATGAATGAGATCTAGAGCCCGTTTGGTAATACCGAAATTGGACGAATCGGCTTATTTTGCTGAAATTTATGAAGTTCTGACTGAAGTAACTGGATTAGTTGATTCTTCCGATTTATAAAAAAAATTATATTTGCAATATATTTTATTAATAAAATAAAGAAAAAATTATATGGAAAAATAGCCAAAATGGTCCTCTATAGTAAATTCAGCCAATACAGCTAGAAAAGTAACTCAAACATTACTTTTTCTTATTATTACACAATTCAATGCACGAAATCAAAAGTGGTGTGTTTGGTGAAAAAGTTGGCCCATAAGCCCGATTAAGCCGAAAAACTGGGTCACCAAACGGGCTCCTAGTGTAGAGAGGACTTAAATTTCAAGCTACCTGCCACTTGAAAAATACAAAACATTCTAATTCTCTTGTTATGATTTACACTTGCTTTATCTTATGTACGGAGTATTATTCATGGAGTAAAGCACAAGTGAAACTAACTGGGAGTAACAAAATGGGTCTTGGTATCACACCAGCAAAACAGAGGAGATATTAGAAGTTACATGCCCCAAATACCTCGAGCTAGTGTGGCTTTGCCTGGCCGTGATGTTAGCTCACAGAGTATCCTTGCAAATATATCAGAATGCTTTCCATCAGCAAAGAGAATCTCAGTGAAAGCGGTTTCAAAGACGAGCAGAAGGGGCTTGTTTTGGGGCTCTGCCACTAGGCTCTCCAGAATTGAGGCTGCCTTCCTGCAAACTTCTGATACTGGGTGTGGTGACTTTATGACTTTCAATAACCTATCAATTGCCCTTTTAAAATGTTCCAAAGAATCATATGTGAGTAACAGCTATGCTCAAAATGTGGTTATAAAGCTCTAATAGTTTACAGGAAAATTCTTTCCTGGAAAAATATTCTGATTTTCCTTTATTTGGCAAGGAAAACTTTATTTTCAAGATAGTAAGTATTTTACTGCACAAGGCCCCAGAAATTTGTTTGTTTTTCCGATTTCGGAAACGGATATTATTTTCCTGAGACTGTTATATAGTACTACCTTCGTCCCGAAAAGAAGTTCCCACTTTCCTTTTATGGATGTCCCAAAAAGAAGTTTTCATTTCTACAAAAGGAAACCACTTTTTTAACCCAAAAGTCACAACTATCCTTACTTTTAATCCACTTTTTGCTTGATTTGGCATAAAACAAGGGCATACTTAGAACGCCAAAACAAAACTCTACCTTACATAAATATGTGTGTAGGTCATAGGAACTTCATTTTCGGGATGGAGGGAGTAGTATTTTCTATTTTGTAGATAAAAAATTGAACAAGTTATATGCATAGAACAGTTTGGTATATCAGCAAGTTATGCATAGAACAATTTAATTCATAGGAAAACATTTTTCATAACGATTTTTTTCTGGAAACAGATGCAGCCTCAATACTTGCAAGTTAACAATAATTTCATCTTACCATCGTTCACTAGCAAGTTTCAGTCTGCAGTCCATATTTACTTCCACAAGGTTGTACAATGCACCCACAGCAGCAGCTTGAGCATCGTTCGCAGGAAGGCTCATGATATCGACCAACCTTTTATATATCTGCACATCTTCATCAGTTCATCATTCTTGTTCATATAGTTGTGTTTGCTAAGTGGTGATCTTTCACAATTTAAATCAAACCAAAAAAATGAGCAACCTGTAAAGCAAAAGGAAGAAAGAATGGTTCATTATCGGGATTTAAAATCAGACGACCAATCAATTCTGCAGCCCCACAATGCCAGGCTTTGAGAGAAGATCCCAGCATTCCCATGATAGCCTGGACAGCACGGTTCTCTCTGCATCATAAAACCCACCAGTCAAATGGATTTATACTCCTTCCATCCCCAAATTAGCTTCTCTCTTGCCTTTTCGTCCGTTTAAAAAAATATGTTCACAATTTTGTTCGGGAAAGAATTGCATGGTTGTTATTTTCTTTCTTTCCAAGTAAACCGGAAACACACATTATTATTATTATTATTATTATTTTTTTATTTAATGAGCGTGACAAACATAGAAGAGAAGCATATTTGGAGACGGGTTTAGTACATTACAGCGAATATCAGAAAATAAGAAACAAAAAAATGTGCACCTCATGTTAAGTACAGAAGGTTTTGATGAACTAAATATTCGAAGATCTAGCAAATGGGACAAATTAACAATAGTTTCAAGCACATTCGTCACAAGCTCCTCATCCTCTGCAAATATATTATAAATTTGACATAAACATTGAAATTATATCAGAGTAATTATAGAAAAAAACCACTTTTGCTCCTACGAATACTATAACAATATTATATCAAGTCTATGACTTTGATTTTTCCCATCCGGTACATGACTATTGCTTTTGAGAATACTATAATACTTGTATGACAAAAAGTGGAACTCTTTCTACTATTATTGGCCATATCAAACCATAAATCATAAGATAAGCCACAGGAAAAACAAGTACAATGGCTCTACTTGTGCTCTTAAGCCTCACCTACAACATAGTCCTCAAGACAAATAAATAGGGTTTCCACACAATGTCGATGCTGAGCCATGATAGTTTCATTATCTGCCATGAAAGAGAAATTGCGAATAATATTAGAGGCCACAACAGCACATTGTTGCTTTTCAGCTCTCCCTTCCTCATCCAAACTGAACAGGCCGTCTTCTTCAAACCACCAACCAGAACGATGAGAAGTCTTTTTAATAGATGTCTCTTTGATAGAAGATCCAGATCCAGTTGCAGAGCTACAATTATAGTACCAGCTGAATCAGATGGCTACTTCTGAAGTTACTTATTATATTAAAAATTATACTCGTAATTTTTAAGAAGTGAAACGATAATGCAAAATTTACCTTTGAATGGAAACTAAATTATTTTGCCCCAAAGCATCATTTTTATTTCCGAATCCAGTAACAAGAGAATTTGCACCCAAGAGTCTCACCCTAGGTTCTTTCACATGCACCCTTGGTAAGGCTATATCACGCCAGTCATCTATCTGAAATTATTGTTGCATTCATCATTATGCTCAACAGGGTCGTCTAATAAACTTGGAGGCCCCAGTTCCAAATATAAAATTGAGGCCCTGTTTGATTTTAATTATTATTATTATTATTATTATTATTATTAATTGTAATACTATCTAATATAAGTTATATAACTATATTATAAGAAATGATTTGGTCAGGCGCGATGTAGATTATGTCAATAAAATATCAACTTCAAATTTTGCTAAAGTGTATGCACGGTGTTTTTCAATAATTTATTTTATTGACTTCCCAATTGAATTTTAAACTGAAATTTTGTGTACATAATCTAAACTTCATGAAGAACATTCTTGAACAACCCGTGAATTTTCGTTTTATGAACAAGGTTTTAAAAAACAAATCGACCCAAAAGCTCCTCAAACAGGCTTGCATGTACAGGACAGATCATTTCTCACTAGATTATAATACTACTATTAAAAAATTTGGGGCCACCAAAATTGGTGGGCCATGTTCTAGATGACCAGTTGAGCTTGTTAAAAACGGCCCTGATGCTCACACATACAAACCCCCTCACTTTGGGTGGGTGGGTGGGGGGTAATTCTTCACTGCACACTGTTTTAATATTAAAAACTTACGACTTGAAGTAAAGCGTCGAGCAACCCGGGAATTTTCGAAAGAGGGGTAGCATCTCTGCGAACTTCATCTTTTTCTTTGAATGAAAGCAATGTGAGAGTATTGAATGCCCATGTCAGCTCACTTTTCAACCCGCTTTGAAGAGCAAGAACAATCCTTTTGTAATTCAGCTCTAGTAAAATAAGTGTTCAGAAACACAGGTAAATTAATGAACCCAAACAAGGAATGGAACACCAATCGTTCACAACAGGTGGTAGAAGGTCATCTTATTTTTCATATAGTACACATTTGAAAATATGTTTCATCACAAAGTTGCATTGTAAAGGAGATGCACTAAAGTCTGTATTTAAAAACATTATCAAACGAAATGTTGTCTCAATGACAGATTTGCATTGAACCTCAAGTCCCTCAGAAAGCGAAACTTATTCATAACTATAAACTTAACCTATTAAGCTGAACTATTTTAATCCAATCCCTATTTTCCATGAAAGGTTACTGAACTAGGATTTAATCTAAAACTGTCCTAGCATAATTCACCTAACAAAGTCAACAATGTGATTCCAATTATACGACCAACGACGCTGCAATTGAGTATATATGTACATGAGATAAATTAAGGATCCAATCGCACTAACCAGTGAAGAGGGGGTGTACTTGTAGGGAGGGACCAGCGAGTGGTGGAGCTGCAGCTGAATCAGTGGCTGCAGCTGCGGCAGCGGCTGCAGCGGCCGCTGCCGCAGCAACTTGGTTGCTTCCACTTCCGACTGGGCGTCCTCTCTTCGCCGGTGTGGGGGCGGTGCCCGACCCTGAGCTTTGTTTGCCTTGCTCTCTTTTCTGCATTTCCTCTCTCGATCTCTTGCCCGTTTTGCCCCTCGTAGTGTAAGATAAACAAATACTCCGTACGTAGTAAGATAGTACTCCGTGTGTATAAAAAAAAAAAAAAGACGGAGTGGGTAATATACTTAGCCCGTTGGGTAGCACCAAAATCGGCTGTTTTGGCTGATTCTGCTGAAATTTATGATATTCTGGCTGGAGTGGCTGTTTTGTCTGATTCTGCTGATTTAAGAAAAAAATATTTTAAAAATATATTTTATTAATAAATTAAAGAAAAAATTATATGTAAAAATAGCTAAAATGGTCCTCTACAGTAACTTCAGCCAATACAGCCAGAAAAGTAACTCCAACCTTACTTTTTCGGCTTATTACACAATTCAACGCGCGAAAGTAAAAGTTACGTGTTTGGTGAAAAAGCTGGCTGATAAGCCTGATAAGCCGAAAACAGAGTTCTCCAAACGGGCTCTTTAATAGAAAAAAAAAGAGACATTTTTTCATAGGGGTGTATTGTATTAGGAATTAATGGATTTTAAAAGTTTAGGTGTATTTAATGTGGATTTTTAAAAGACTATAAAAGTGTAGGTATATTTAATGTTAAAAGTCTATAAAAACTAGGCGTATTCAAATTTTCCATTTATTCTTATTGACTTCTAAAATCATAAATTTTTGTGGATTTCTAACTCATTTTTAGTACATTAATTCTCTGCAATTGTCTCTACTCTTCACCAAAGATTTGTGTGGACTTTTCTCGTTGTTTTCTACTTGTCACATGTAACTATGTAAGCATATATCTGGTTGCATATTTGACTAATTATTTATCCGAGATCACAAACCGCCCAAAAAATCCTAGGCTAGTACTGGTCGGGTCGGGAGGTGGGTACTAGGATGGTCTCAATACCCAAGATTTGGACATTTTTTTTTCATTTTACGATAAATAAAGTTCAACAAAGAGATTCTACGTTAATACCGATACACAAGATACACATACAAAAATAAAAAGTGACATGTTATATGCCGTCTTACAAAGAAAATGTAAGAATGAGATCGGTTCAATTCTTGAAAGAAAGTTAGGAACCATTTGAAGAAGTGTTATCCTGTATCAATTCGGTTCTGGAAATTTTTAGACGAACCGGTATAAAAATCGATAGTATTACATCGGTGCAATAGTGGTATGTCGCCACTTCACCATTAAGAAAAAAATATTTTAACTATTATTGTGTTTCATCATTAAACCGCTAACATATAAAAATATAATTTCAAATTAATAAATATTTAACCGCAAATAATTAAGTGTAAAAAAATTAATAAGTTAAAAATGAAAAGAAAACCATTATTAAGAAGAAAAAGTTCGGTTGCACCTATTCTTGTACCACATGTAGCAATGAGTGTAACGCTTGTGCAACCATTAATGTTCTTACTCATTGAGTTGTGTAATATAATAATTGATCACAAATAGATTGAGATTGTTGAGGATTCTCGAAACTTTGAGTTCCTTTCTAATAAAATTAATATGGATTCTTGTGCTTTATTTATTTTTTCTTGTAGACCTAGCTATGTGTTGCTAGATGAATTGCATTTGTTTCATTTATTTATTTAATTGTGTCTTATCATATTATACAAAAGAAATTACACGGGGTCGGACTAAAACATATGTAGCATCGTTTTTCTCAAAGTATGATCATATGCTTGATTTCCTTTACATAGAACTAAATATTACTCCCTCCGTCCTCCAATTAAGTTCCCACTTTTCTTTTTGGGCAGTCTCTGAATTAAGTTCACACTTCAATACATTTCCTTATTTGGCAAATTATCTACATCAAAACAGTGTCAAGACAGTAAAATTTACCCCCTAGTAAATTTATTTCCTTAATATGTGTGAAATTTAACCGGGAACTTAATTGGAGGACGGAGGGAGTACATTTCTACCCCTGATTTTATAAATTAATACTATCGTATAATTCATTGCCTCTAGTTCCAATGCATAACCAAAGTCAATTTGTTTGTGGCGGATCGGTCCGGTGACGGATGGGTAGGAGCGATATAGGTGAAAGTTCTGACGACCGTGAGTAGCATTCCGAATTTAAAAGCTTCTAGACTTTTTGAAAGTCTATAAACTTATCCATGGATTTAAAATTCAATACAATTCATTCATAAATTTTTTTTATGGGTTTAAAGTCCATTGACTTATTTAAAAGTTCATGAATTAAAAAAAGTCCACCACAATCCATATTCAATATACTCCCCTTAATTTCAAAAAATGTGACTAATAAACACATTCTTCACTAATTTACCCTTTCGCGCACACTGTCGACTATCACAACTAATGCGTTTTTTAATGTTCTTTTAATGCACTCCGTTTTAATATTCTTTTAATGCACACCGTTACGGTGACTTTTTTTTAAATATTCCATATTTTCATTACAATGACCATAATATTATTTTAATATTTTAATATTATTTTTACAAATAAAGATTACGATATGAAAATTTTGGGACAGCCCCAATGACCAATGGCTCAGTTACTACTTGTTGAATTTAATCCCGCAGATCCGAAAGCCCAACATAAACTTTGGATATTAAGGATGACGAGTTTGGTACAAAAGTAAATAAAGAATATAAAAGTGTATGAACAAGTTGTTTTTACGTGGAAACCCGGAAAGAGAGAAAACAACGGGACTTTTTAGGTTTAAGCCCGCTCTTTCTCATTAATATGCTCTCCTCACCATTTTACATAGTACATTTTGGAGCCTCCATTAATGGAGCTTGAGTTGCTAATCCATAAAGGAGGAAGAAGAAGAAGAAGTAGTAAAGGGGAGGGGGAGAAGCCAGCTCCCAGGAGAGAAGAGTCAAAAGAGGGATCCCTTAATCTGGAAGCCAAACTTCCTATTTATAGGCAATGGGGATGGTTTTTCTATCTAATGGGCCGGAAAGGCCTTAATGCGCCGAAGGAGGCCCGAGTGGGCCTAAATGGCTCTAGATGGGCCGAAGCAGGCCGGGACAACCCGAAGGGGCATAAATGGGCCTCGCGGGCTAGGCTCCGTACCGGGGTGATGTCTTAAACCTCTTAATAGTAATAGGCCAGGGTAATATACCCCAACACTACTATTTCAATAAATGTCGTCTCAGTTACTATTGTCGCTCAAGTACATCACCTCAGTTACTACCGCTCTCAAGTAACCACCGTCCTAGTTGCTAGTAATTGTAAGTGACGAAAAATCTATCAATAACCAAAACAATGTCAGTGACCAAAGAACTTTCAGTGATCCGTCCCACAAGTGGCCCGCAATCGCCAGTTACAGTTACTCGATTCGCCAATTACAGTTACCCGATCAATTACAGTTACTCGACCCGTCAGTTACAATTATCTGGCCCCACCAATTACAGTTATCTGGCCTGAGCGCTTACCACCGATTAGTGTTACCATTACTATTGTTACTATTATTATTGTTATACTATTATTATTGTTAGTATTATTATTATTATTATTATGAAAGTGATAAATCATGTTTGAACTTTTCTAATCTGATCTCAATCTTCCTGATCTAGTATGATCTGATATGAATCTTTCTGATATGAACTTTTCTGATCTGATTTGACTGTTTTGGGTCTAATCTGATTTGAATTTTTCTGCTCTGATCTGATCTGAATAAAATATAATTAAACAATAAGTAATAAGAATAAGACGAACAGAATATCTTCTAAGCCCACCACGATTTTATTGATTTGATCAAATGACCTACGGGTCATATATTTTTCAAATATATACTTATATGTATTTCAAAGAATTGGGGGAAATTATAAATGTATGTATCACACTATGTTTGGGTCTTGTATTTGAAACGTTAGTTATTCTACATTTAGCATCCTTCTCGCCAGTACAAGCTGTACTGGCCCCTCCGAGAGCCCTACCATTTTCACTTTTCAGGTTGAAGCTAGAGCTTGCTACCTGCAACTTTGCGCGGGTGAAGTGATCTCGAGGAAGATGTGGTTCGTTCTTCCTGTACCGTTTTGAAACTATAAACTATGCTCATGAATATTTTGTACTGAATACTTTACTTTGGGGTTGCGAGCCCACGTTTTGCCATGTGGGCTCATGATTGACTATTGAATATTTCCGCTATTCATTCAATATAAAGTGTGGTGTTGTTACGTGTGTTAACTTACTGAGTATGGTATGAACTATATTAAAATAAAACTAAATATGATTATAATAATTTTTTGTAGGATAATTCACTATCATCAATTCTACTTATAGGTGACATCAATTCATAGAATTTGACTAAATTAAAAATTATCGTCATATACTTTATATTTCTATTAATGCATTATTACCAATTACTTTGAAATCTCTATTATAATGAATAAAAAATGAATATAGATAAAATATTCATAAGGAATAAAAGATAGAACATGTGTTCAAATAATTTCATTATACTTTATGAAAAATATGAATATTAAATTAAAATTATATTAGAATAAATATTAAACCTAAATATAATATTATCAATGCTTATATATACACACACATATATATGCTTCATTATATTTAAAATTTTAAATATATTAATGGAAAAGTTAACACCTTTAACACCCGGTTTACATACGTGAAATAGTTAATTAGTTGGGATTATTGTTGTCAACATTTCAAGTATGAATTATTTTGTAAAATGGATAAAAGTATGGATTATTGGTGTGCCTATTTCAGGGTGTGAATTGTTCCGAAAAAGAGTTGAAGATGATTATTTTATGCAAAATTGAAGATGGTTTTTAATAACCAAATATTGATATAAAAGATCGAGAAAATTTAACACACTTGTGTTAATCTAGCATCGGAGAATTCCTCCATCATGAAAATCTGGCAATCGACATGCTTTATGAGTTACGGGGCATTCAATTTTGATCTCTAGGGACTTATTATAATGACTAGCATTCAATCCCGCAATGCGCGGAAGCTTTTGCCCAATTAATGTCATGTAAAGTTCTTTTTTGTAATAACTATATTGGATGACTTTGTTGTAAGATATAAATAGTCTCATCGAACGAGCATAGTGATGTGTTC